ATATTTTAGAGCAAAATTATCTGTTAACTCATAATTTAGATCAATTAAAATACAAACAGACTCCATGTTAATTTTAATAGAATATAAATGATTTGAAAATAAATAACTAATAAAGTAAATAGAAATTAGCAAAAGGAGGAGACTTACATGACTATATAAGAAAATATTGGGTGGTAATTTAACTAAACCTATGTAACATTTACACTTTATCACTAATATATTGTTTTTCATGAATATAAGTGCAAACCTTGATGGATCAACAACAGAAGCATCAGGATACCTCATCAGTGCACCTCCCTGAGCTGGGAGCTGTCCTGGAACAGGTGCCATCTGGGAATTCCCTTGTTCTACTGGGTGACTTCAATACCTACAGTATGTGGGCAATGAAGAAGTCATCTGAAGGAAGGTGATTGGGAGAAACGCCCTCCCTGACCTGAAACTGAATGGTGTTCGGCATGGATCCCGAGAGATGTCTGGGTTTCTCTCTTGGACCTGCTGCCTCCACGACCTGACTACGGATAAGCGGTAAAAGATGAAGATAAATATAAGCAAAGGGCCGAATTCACCATTTATTTGCTTCCATATGAGACAGTTTTCCACATAATCTGGTAAAAAGATCTAGACCAAGAGTGTTCCAAGCTTTCTCGAGGTCTTTTAAAGAAAGCTGCCTTTTATTTATATTTTTTTAATTAATTTATGTGATATACAGTATGTTGTATGGACGGTATTTCTGAAAAAGCACAGTTACTTTTTAATACGGCATAGCACCCAAAATGAATGTAAAACTCTGATCAGTTTCTATTCATACTGAGAGCCAGTTTTTGCCACCGGGAATCAGCACGGTCAGGGCCCCTCTCATCAGTCGCCGGGCTTGCATGGATCTGATCTTAACGGTCCTCCTTCCGATAGTGAGCCCACATGGTGATTAAACCCCGTCTCTCCTTTGGGCTGGTCCTGGCTGAGCCCCAAGGAGTCAAAGTTCGACCAGGCCTGGCTCCAGGGCGGGTGCTCCAGTTTCCCCTTTGTGGACAAGGCTTCCTGATGCAACTGATGTTAATCCATCAAGGTTTCTGAATCACCCTTGGCTACCTCTGAGGTCTGTTTGCCATGAGAGACAGGAAATGATGCTCCAAACAATATAGCCCCCAGAACCACGGTGGAACTCAAATCCCTCAGCCACTTTAAAGTGGTAATTCAGTGGTGGAGTATGAAGAATGGATCATGACCAAAAGACCAAGCGCCAAGACAAGTGGCTGAAATGAGCTTCCCTCGTATGGTGGCCAGGCTCAGCTTTAAAAATAAGAAGCTGCATCATCTGGGGCGAGCTCAAAGTAGAGCCACTGCTTTGCATGAAAAGGGGTCAGTGGAGATGGTTCAGGTATCTGATGTGTTCTGGACACCTCTCTTCTGAGGTTTTCCATGCATCTTCCACTGGGAAGGGAATAGGCCCTGGGGAAGACCAAGTCCTAGAACTTGCTGGAGTGATTACTGCCGGTATATACACCCTCTCTGGCCTGGGAACTCCTTGGGATCTCCGAGAAAGAGCTGGAGAGTGTTGCTGAAGAGAGAGAAGGATGTCTGGGTTTCTTTCCTGGACCTCATGCCTTCGGGACCCAACAACAGATAAGATGTAGAAGATGGAGATGAACTACATGTCTACAGTAGAAATTAGATGCATGCTAGTTTGGTTTAGAAACATCTCGGCATGTGATCTTCAAATATTGATGTGTGAAAACTGCTTCTTGACTTATTAGTTTATTGCTATATCAGCTACATTAAACCTAGACCACCCACTGCAGGAGAAAAACAAGGTCAAACGGAGGACTCAAGCCATTCGACACAGAATCTTTTCTATTGCAGGAAAACGCCAACATTTGATTAACGCTCAGATCCCACTGCCAGTTTTTTACCCTACAACAGTCAGACTCATGGACACTTTGTAGTGATGGCGCCATCTTGTGGTCCTTGTCTGTGCAACCTTGTGTCTCATTATTCTTGATTAATTCCACCTCCTGAGCTGTTTGTAATCACGTCCTGTCTTGTCTGTGTATTTAAGCCTGTCTGTGAGTCTTGTCTTTTGTCGCGTCAGCGTTGGGTCTTCCCTGTTGTGTTCCAGTCTCCAGAGTGTGAGTTGCTGCCACGTCAGCCCTTGTGATTTATTAATTATATATATTTTTGTATCTCCTGGCTCCAGAGTGCTTGTCTGCACTTGGGTTCGTTCCTGCCTGCTAAAATCCTGACAGTATGACGCGACCAACAAAGAACCCAGTAGACAAGTATTTTTTGTCCAGATTGTCTGATGAAGACTTTAAACAGCTTTGCGACACAAGCCGGAGGTTTGTGGACACGACCACCTCCTGCAATCTGTGGGAGAGGTGGGTGGCCACAAAAAAACATGTTGGATGAATACATTTGCTTACATGGACTGTTTGATGCACCCGGTATGGAGGATTTTCTGGACGAGGTACTGGAGGAAAAGCGTTGGTTGGAGCTAGTGATGAGCAAATGAAGCTTTTATGAAGCACTGAACCAGTTGGGCCACTTGTTTCAAAAATAGGTTCATTTGTTGAAGCTTCAGTTACACTGACCTCTTGTGGCATTTTTCAATGCTGCTGTCAAATTAGGGTTATACTTTTGGTGGCACACCAAAGAACTTCAGTGACTAGTGTTAAAGAAACTACTTTACTGTGGTAAAAAAAAAAAAACAGATTTATTAAAAATTCATCAACTTTCTATGTTGTTTGGTTTGAGAATTTATTTATGCTTACATGTTTTAAAGATTGATAAATGATTATTAAATGATAAAGCTCTGTACATGTTGTATAACACAATCATTGTTCCACATTTAATCTATTGCATTGATGTTTGGGGGAAAGCGTGTAAAACATTTAAAAAGTCTATTTTTATTTTACAGAAAAGAGCTGTAAGAATCATCACCAGAAAGCATTACTGTCACCCATCAAGCACATTATTTTATCAGCTGAACTTATTGAAGTTCCATGATTTGGTAGATTACAGTATTTTATCAGTTATGTATAGGGCTCAAAATAACACATTACCATTAAATATCCAAAGAAATGTTGTTAAAAGACAAAGTTGTTATAATCTTAAGGGGATAGAGATATTTGTCAAACCAAAATTCAGAACTAGTCTGAAGGGAAGGTCTACCTCAATCCAAGGAGTTGGATTGTGGAATGGTCTAGAGAGTGATGTGAAAAATGTCAAGTCAATATGTACATTTAAGAAAAAGATCAAAGCTGAATTGTTAAAAAATATATGAAGTAGCTTATTGTGTTTTTGTATTAGAATTAGAAAAATTAGATAAATTTTGTTCTGTCACTTGAAAATTATTATGATTGAACTAATTGTTTGAAAAAAGGGGCAGATATTATAAGACTTTTTCTTCTTTCTGCTGCCTTTCATTTTAAATCTCTTGTATCTTTTTATATTGTTATGGAATTGTTTTGTATTTTTTTAATGAATAAACTTTATACTATTATACCATAAATGTGCATTGAAGAGATTTAATAAAAATGTTGCAATTGTATTGTGCTTGTGTAACCGTGGCAGAGTCCGAGTTTTTATTATTCTTAAAAATATGAATGAAAGGACGTCTCCATGATCTCCATGTTTGGAGCTGAAGTGTCTGATCATAGAGGAGATGCTTCAGTCCAGGTGAACACACCAAACACTGCACCTTTAGAAATACACTAATGTAAATTAAAAAATGAATACAAGCCCATACTGATATATGATTATTAAAATCACATACATCATTTTACTGTATGGGTTGGATAATATCTTCACAGCTGAACATTACTTTAACTTTTATTGACATTTAAATGCCAAAACCACCTTATGATGAGCAGAATGAACCCACATGTTAGAACCTCTTTTCCTGGCTGCTTCTATAATTACTTTATTTCAACTAACAGGAGAAACACCTGCTCTCCTTGCAAACATTTTAGAGCTGTATAGTGTTGAGCTCTCAGTTCAAACCGTCTCAACCTGTCACCTGTCAGAATCAGCTGATTGGACCACGATCCAGGAAGCTTTTGTTTCATACTACCACGACTAGTTGGAGCCAAATCAAAATTATTTTAAAATTTGTCTCGTGAAAACTGCGTTTTATTGGATCAGACTTACGAATCAGCAAGTCGACTTTGCTTCTGCGCCTTCCACCGGAGCAGTTTAAAATTTTAAATTAAATTTAGGAGCTCCTTCCTTCCACGTTTTCTTCGACTCAAGTTGGTATAACGGTAAATTCTCGCGCCAAAACTGCCCGTCGCGCGGTTGCCAGATATGAAACGACGGCATGACGTGTGGTTTATTTAAACTGATTGTGATTGTCGGATCGGACTTGTGAATTATCTGGCAACACCGCAAGGCTTCAAACGTCTCCGCTGATAAAAGTCGGTTAAACAAACGCATTAGTTCAAAGATAAAATTATTGAAAATGCCTATTTTAATTGTTCCGTTATTAAATTATTACCAATTTCTTATGAAAGTTAATATTACCGGTTAAATCCTGTGGTTTCCAGGAGAAAAAAAAAAGGTTTTACTCTAGTTTTGTTTATGTTAAGCATATACCATATTTCATGGAAATTTATTTATACATGCACGCGATTTGTCAATGAGCAATAATTTAAAACATCATTAACCTTTACTTGAGGGTTATGTTTATTTTTTGTGTTGCTTGTATCAAATAAAAGTTATGGTTACCTTGTGGAAGTCGGCAGAAAGAGACGAAAAATATTTTGAGTGTCGATTTATTCTTCCAAAACCGTTGATCCGCTCCGTTTATATCCTGTCCCCTTCACAATAAGAGCACGTTCCGACGTCCGCCACAACCTCATTTTTCAGTACCGCTCATTTTTATGTGAAACGTAAACGTCACGCGTCATCTGAGATCACGTGACGCTCGCCTCATCACTCCCCTCCTCCACCGTCTCCCTCCGCATCCCGGAGATAACGGCTGTGTCCGCGCGCCCTTTAAGAGCCGCGCATCCTGCTCCCTTCGGTGGACCAAATCTCCGTCGCTGCTCCGTGAGACCGAAACGAAAACCGACAGAAAGCCGCGGAAATGTCCACCAGCTCTGCTTTTAACGATGAGAAGGGGGGCTCGTCCAGCGTCGGGGAGGCTGAATACGCTTACGACCCCGTAAGCGGGAAGATTTTCTCCTCGGACTACAATCGGTAGGAACGATGCCTCCGCCTGATGCGGTCAATGTCGCGGGTTCAGCGGCTTATGGAAGAGAGGGGAGATGTGTGGAAATAGTTGTTTATTTTCGTGTTCACTTGAGTAGAGGTGCGTTTTAATGTCGGTGCACGGGATGTATTTTAAAACCAGTAGACGGAAGTTTGTTAGCTTGGAGGCCATTTTCGTGATTACGGCGTCTGTTGTGTGAACCTGAGCGTGATTTGAACGCTCCCAGGGCTCGGCTCTTCACCTCCTGACTGTGTCCCTTCAGACCAGGCAGTTGGGAGGTAAACTCGTCAGGCTGGACGTGAAATGTCTCTGATAGAAGACACGAGGCCTCAGCTTTTCAGCACCACCCCTGCTGGACAGCGGCAGAAGAAGCCCCTCCGTGTGGAAATGCATCTTGAGCAAGCAGGAAGGCGACAGTGGGAAGGAAAAACTCGCTCATGAGGAAGAAACCTTTAGCAGAACCAGGCTCAGGACAAGCGTCCATCTGCTGAAACAAACATTTAACCCTCCTGCTGCCCTTTGATCAAAATGACTCAAGGCCTCAGTCTTAACACCAAGGCCTTGTGGGTCCTTTTGATGGCAGGAGGGTTAGTGCGAAGAACATTAGAACGTTGTTAGAGGAGAATCTTTGTTTTCACATGAAGTCATCAAACCAAAATGTGGCCACATTGGAGGTACAAGGGACGCTAAGCAATATTTTGAGTTGACCGTTGACCTCTTCCTCATCCTAAACCCACCAATGTTTGTCGTTAAGATCGTAAACTACCGCAGAGGTGCCTCAAACGGATCTATTCATCAAAAGTTCTCCAGAATCAAGGAGAAGCATGGCAGAAACTCTCCAAAGGGAGGAGATGGCTGAGCTACATCAAACCTTGCAGGGAAGAATAAGAGTTGTAGTCCAGAGTGATCATGTATGAGGACAGCAGGAGATGTATGAGGACAGCAGGAGATGTATGAGGACAGCAAGACATGTATGAGGACAGCAGGACAGTGGTGAGATGTTCTGTAGGAGTGACAGATGGCTTTAAGGTGGAGGTGGGAGTGCATCAAGGATCGGCTCTGAGCCCCTTCTTGTTTGCTCTGGTGACGGACCGACTAACAGATGAGGTCAGGCAGGAATCCTCGTGGACTATGATGTTTGCAGATGATGTGATCTGTGGTGAGAACAGGGAACAGGTGGAAGATAACTTGGAGAAGTGGAGGTATGCACTTGAAAGAAGGGGAATAAAAGTCAGCCGTAGTAAGACAGAGTCCATGTGTGTGAATGAGAGGGAGGAGGTGGAACAGTGAGGCTACAAGGAGCAGAGGTCACAAAGGTGCAGGACTTCAAGGACTTGGGGTCCACTGTCCATGAACATGGGGAGTGTGATAAAGAGGTGAAGAAGAGAGTCCAGGCAGGATGGAGTGGATGAAGAAAAGTTTCAGGAGTGATTTGTGACAAAAGGGTGTCAGCAAAGGTCAAAGGTGAGACCAGCTATGTTGTATGGTCTGGAGACAGAGACATGGACAAAAACACAGGAGACAGAACTGGAAGTGGCAGAAATGAAGATGTTGAGGTTCTCCTTAGGAGCGACAAGGATGGAGAAGATCAGAAATGAGATCATCAGAGGTACAGCACAGAATGAACAACTGGGAGATAAAGTTAGAGAGGACACACTGAGATAGTTTGGACATGTCCAGAGGAGGGACAGTGGTTTGGACATGTCCAGAGGAGGGACAGTGGTTTGGACATGTCCAGAGGAGGGACAGTGGGTATATTGGATGTTAGAAATGCAGCTGCCAGGAAAAAGACAAAGAGGAGACATGTGGATGCAGTTAGAGAGGACATGGAGGTAGTTGGAGTGAGGACAGAGTGAGATGGAGGAGGAGGACTCGCTGTGGAGACCCTGAAGAGGGAAAAGAAGAAAGAAGATTCCAGAGTGATCATACTTACCCATGTTTTTGCGATCTGATCCGTCTGAATCACAGTTACAGCTCAGAAACGAGCAGACGCTCAGCAGCTGGTCTCTGATCAAAGGAATCTAACAGGTTGCTTTATTAAGTCGACAACATCTGTCATCTTGTGCTCGTACAACAGTTAGCTGCTGCACATGTTCGTTTTTCAGTGTTTGAGCCAAATGAAGCGTGGGCTTAAGCGTGTGTGTCCAAAGTGCGGCCCGAGGGCCATTGCGGCCCTTGGAGTGATTTTGTGCGACCCTCAACTGCAGTTTGAGAACGGTATCATTTTGGCCAGCAGGCTTAAGAGGTCGATGCAGACTTTCTGCAAGTGCGTTGGTAATCCTTGTTTATATAATGTTTAGGTTTAACAGCAAAACAGATGAAAAACTAACAAAACTGATTCTCCACCAAACGGCCTACTCCACCTTTCTGACTGATGAAGCTCTTCGGATGGAGGGTGAAACATCTCAGCTCACAAAGAAAAAAGAAACCATCCAGATGACCTGACTGAACATTGTTGGATTTTATACCTGGATTATTGCGCATGGACTTTGGTGTTTTGAACCAGTTTGACATGTTGATGAGGGAGAGGGCGTGCCCCAGAGACCATCTTAGCACCAACTTAACTGTTTTTTTTTTTTCCACTTTGGAGTGAGCTGTTGGTGGAGAATCAGTAACAAATAACAAAATAAATAACAAACAAAAATAAATGCTTGACTGTTTATTTTCCCATGAGACCTTGCAGGAGTTACAACAGTTTTTAAAATTGGATTTCATTTTTCAGGCTGAGATTGCCGTAATAATTAACTAGTTTATTGGGAACAAAAATATATTTTAAAAGTAATTTTCATCAGTTATGTGAGGAGGCCGATTCTCCCCCCAACTGAAACGAATTGGAGGATCAAAAATCAATCAATCAACAAATTAAAAAATTCTCAAGTAATTTAAGGAGTCAAAAGACCAGGTTAACAAATGACCAAGCCTATTTGTTTTGATTTGGGCTTTAATTCTACATTTTTTCTTTCATTACATTTTGACTTGTGTTTCTGCTCATTTAATTCTCATTATTAAACTTTATTAACACCAAAACATGGATATCTGTAGGCCCCAGATGTGTGTCTCTGTTTAACTTTATTTATTTTACTCCAAACTCACAAAGTTCTCTGTGACAGTCCCAGACAGACTGTGAGCTGCAAAGCATGCTGGGTAGCCTTGTGGAAGTTATAAATGTTTCAGATGTTTCAGACTGTTTGATGTTTTTGAGTGTGGAACTGGGTTGTTCTTGTTAATGTCCTGTTCAGGTTTGCTTTGGTATTTATGTTGAAGTCTCTTATTGGCTGTATACTGATACCGTGATTATCAGTAATTGCTGCCGGTATATATAAGGGGAAAAGTACTAGGTAGTTAAAAAGCAAGTATCTTCACTGAAGAATGAAATCTCAGGGTGAGGCCTGGCATTCTGTTCTTTAAGTGTGCTTCTGTATTCTCGTGAAAATGTTAAAAATTGAGATAGGCACATAACAGGACTGCCTCTGACTGAAATATTTGCCACTTCAAATGGTTTAAAGGTCTCTCTCACGGATGTTTTCTAATTGTTTTTTATTTATTTCTATTAATGAACTCATCATTAACTGCCACTTAAATAGCCCTGTTGTACATCACTGTAACATTTAAAGCATTTTCCTGAAAAGCGGCAACTTGGGATTTTGTTGTTGTTCGTGCTTGACATCTATTCCCTAATGTCATGACTTTTCACCTTGGAAATCAAAAAACTGGCAGAGGAGATGCTCAGTGCTAGTCCTCGTGGGCCACTATCCTACATGGTTTAGTTGTTTCCCTGCTCCTCGGTAGGGAAACGCAGGTCCTCAAAATCTGCAGAAGCATGTTAATTATTCATTTATTCAAATCTGGTGTGTTGGACAAGAGAAAAATCTAAAACATGAGGAATAGTGGCCCTTGAGGACCAGGACTGGGGACAACTGAACTACAAGGACAGGAGTAGCTCTAACGCCTCAGTGTGAGAAGAACATTTTGTTTAGTGAAAGGGCTGTAAGCTCAATCATCCAGGTAGATAACAACAAAAAAAGGTTAAATCATGTCATCTGGGCCAGTTTCTTTAAGTGGGAAACATTGCGTCCCCATCCAGAGGACTTCTTCAGTCTAAGGCCTGCCAGCCAGATCTGTCCCACATGTAGCCTTCACTGCTGTGTTTCAAGCCGACCTCCTGTTGGAATCTCAGAAGCGGCAAAAGAAGATTCAAAATCATTTTGTTTAGTGACTCACCACCAGAGGGAGCCCATTGAATGACTGCTGACGTCTCTGATGGAGAGCGGAGGATTTTTTAAATCCATGAGGTTGTTTGATAAACAGTTGAGGAGTCTGTGGTTACAGTGATCTCTCATTAATAGTTTTCTGTGTGGGCTGGACACCGCTGATACAGAGATCTGCTCACTGACGGTGGTTTAGTTGGTTGATCTATGAGAAGCACTGATGTGACCCTAACCTCTGTCTTCTATGAAACGCTTGTCCTTCACCTGAGTTTTTGTGTGTTGTACTACACCAGCTTCCCTCCTGGAGAATGCCCGCTGGTTGAATGACTCCTTTACCTGTTGTACATCCAGCACTTTGGTCCTGGGTTTGAGTCTCGGCCTGTAGTCCTTTTTTTACACATCGTCTATGGTCTATCTTTATCTTCTAGCCTTAGCATCTCTTCATACAAACATAAACACTAACGTGGAAAATATAAACTATATGTTCACCAGTCCACAGCATTAAAACAAAAGCTTTCAAAATTGCTCTTTTGTTCATGAACTTTGTTTTGTTGCCCACCGTCTTTCACTCACATTTATGATTTCATCTACCGGAGTACACCTTTTGAATTAAGGACAGGATGATTTATAAGTAAAGGTTGAACGAATACCAGATTTTTACTAATGATGTTCAACTGATGATAAATAATCAGAGCGGTTTTTAGATCTGGACATGTGCCTCAGATGTTTTCTGTCAGAGGACAGGCCCCGTGCAGGGGTCAAAATACAACTCCAGTGCT